TTGTAACCTGAAATATTCGGATGGTAAATTCATATATTTTAAGATTAAAGACAGACAAATAAAAAGTTGATAAAAATAATATAATTGCTGAATTTCCTTGCAATTTCCAGTATTGATTTTTATTAATTGGAATGGAAATTAAAACAGACCCATCAACTCTTCTCCATCTCAACATAATTTCAAAACCATATAATATATATATATGTGTGTGAGAAATTAGACAAATGTGTCATAGTTATACTCAATTGATTTAAAGTCATTTTCTTGTACAACTGTATCCTTTCACAAATTAATGGAATGAGTATCGTTATCTTCCAATGGCTGCTTAATTTTGGCACGAACTAAACTTGTCCTAAGGAATGGTACGCCGGGGTCCCATGTGTCCAATTCACAGATTTAATTTTATGCACCAAAAATTAATTATAATGGCGGTCAAATCATCTCAATATTTTCAGATTTGATAATTTAATTCAATAATTTTGGATTGATGCGTATGATATTTTATCAAACTCCAATCAGCGTGGGCCAAGTTCGAATTGGCTCCAATTTCCCAAACGACATACACCTCCCATGAATTACATGCCCAACCATGGTTCTCGTCAATCTTAGTGCTGGGTCTCCATCATCACTTCTTCCTGTTTCTGTGCGTATATTATATATAGAAATCTAATGGATAAAACACACACGCAGACTCCCCTATATATATATATATATATATATTGGATAAGTACCAAGTCTTTCCAATTATCATTCACCTTAACTAGACATGTACCTAACCAAAGCAAAAAAAGTTAGATTAATCACTAATGATATATTATTAATTTTGTTTCAAAGTTATATATATATATATATATGTATTCGTAATTAGTGTTTTGTGAAATGTATATTTTATATTTTTCTAAACTCTCTGAGTTGGTAGCTAGGGTAGAGAATAGAACTTAGATTAATTAAGTAGGGTTTAATTGAGAATTAAGGTCTTAAATGTTAAGAAATCGAGTGGCTATAAAAATATAGCATTGGCATTGATATATAGATAAATTATGATTCATAATTTGGTATGATATAAGATGTTGAGAAGTGATAGTTGCAGCATAATGTGTAAATTAATTGGTAATCAGTTTCCTACCCTAGTTAGTCGGGTGCAGTTTGCAAAACACAATTAAAGTAATTATTCCATACCTTTTAACTTACTTAAGTTAATCAGATTGGTTAACATTAATTATTCCAATGTGTAATTAATTAATCACCCTTAATTTGTTTCATGAAATTGTCTTGTAATCATTCAAGTAAAGGAGAAGTCAAAGAAAAAGGACAAAGAAACAAAGGGAGAGTTCCGATTAGATTTCTCATTGTTAGTCACTGATGAAAAATTCTTGCGAGTATGTGTATTTGTATCTATATATATATATATATGTGTGTGTGTGTGTGTGTATGTATATATGGAGTTCCTCATTCACAAGCAAGAACAAAAAATAGTAAAAAGGCATTAATGTTGGTTGAAAATAATGTACCAGTGTTTCCATTGCTATTTCAGAAATTTTTTTAACTATTTAATAGTTATAATCAACTTAATTATTCTGATAAATGTTATACTATTAAATGAATAAATTTTTTTATTTTTTTTTTACGTTGTAGAGTTAATTTCGACTCTTAATTTATATAAATTCAATTAAATTGAAAAAAAATCATGCGAAATGGTTTGAGAATGTAACTTATAATGTAAGGCAAGTATATATCCACTGCTTCCCTCTTTATATAGTTATATCGCTCGTAAGAAGAAAGTATAATAGCGAAATTAGGTAGATATATACATACATACATGAATTGCAAATAAGCTGTGTTCAGTTAGTCATCTGTATACTGAATCTACCATGCCGTCTATATTATGCAATTTTGCCCCTAGTAGGCAAAGTCACTTGGGAATTGGTACCGTCCATTTAACCAAAACCATGCAAAACAATATGAAACCAACACACAATTAATGCGCTTACGTGAAAGACAAGTAACCCTTATTTCTTTAAAAAGGTTGGCTATACATGTATGTAGCTTGTGGCTCACGGCTATACGTAAAATGAAGTTCGTATATATTTCTCTCTGTTTATATGCAGAATAGTAATTTTCATAGCACGCACATCGATATAATTTCATTTGCTAATACCACAATTCGACAGAAAAGAAAATTATTGTAATGATGAAGATGAAAAACTGAATTTCGTACGAACCCATTTAATAATTTCTAGTACTGTTCATGGTATTGCGGGTGATGGAAAAATATTCCTATATATATATATATATATGTACATTGTACGTCGATTTATTGTTTGCATGTATAAACATAATTAACTTGCACAACCCTTTTTACTGATTACCAAACTGAAAATAAAAATTCAATATACCATGAAATAAAATTTGGATTGACGTTTTTCCGTGAGCCCAACTAAAGTTTGTGCATGCAAATATTAGAATATGAATAATTAATTAATTATTTTCTTAATTTAAATTTTTAGAACAATCAGTCGAATATATTAGTTAAGAATATACAGATTAATTTTTTTTTTTATTTGCCCATTTATTTATTTATTTATTTTGTCATATATAGATGATAAATTAAATAATGGGAAGATGAAATGATTGTTATAAAAGAAATGTGAAATCCATTATAATGATTTTAAGTAATCAAGTCTGAAAATTTTAAAGAGTGGTCCTGATGAGGCAGAAGAATGATTAGGTTAGGTTTATGTAGGAGGAGTCCAAACACGAAATGTGTAGTGGTAGAGTGGAGCCTTGGTTTTGTGTGTGCCCAAATTTGCTAATTATTAATTATAATTATTTAATACTCTCGTGCATGCTAGGAGAGGATAATTACAAGCTTTCGTAGATTCTAATCATAATAACATTGATTCTTCAATATATAAACATATATACATACAGGCCTCGAAGACATTCCAGGGTTCTTAAAAAATTTCGATATAATTAAGAATCTATTATTTATATTTACTATAAATTCAGAAAGATTAATGTACTATTTAATTATTCTAAATGAAAACCATGCTAACTGTCTAATTTAAAATTTTAGTAATAAAAATTATATCTTAAGTAAAAATTCGATTAAGACCAAAAATTAAAATTTACATGCTCTTTATGGATCTCTGCTGTGGAGGGAGATGGGCGAAATCGCAAAGAGAAAATTTACATTGAAGAGTGTAAAAGATCTGACCCCAAGAAAATTCAAAGGTTGGACTCGGCCCATTTTGACTATTATGAGAAATTTTATTAACATATTTAATTTTTTAATAAAAATTTATATATTTTATTAATTATAATATAATTCTTTAACTTGTATAGTTGGTGAATGAATGGGACTACAAAATAAATAAATAATTTATTATTATTTTTTTTAATGCCCTGACTCATTGATTGAATTAAAGAGTAAGCAGGTTCCATTCAAAAAATGTAGGAACTAATGATTTTAGCTGTGAAATTTATTTACTTTATCAATGGCGTAACTAAGTGATGCATGTATATGTAAGTGAGAATATATAATTCGAAATGTACATGTGCATATACTTTACTTGGTTAGATCATAAAGTTTTGGTTGGCAAAAAATTCGAAACCCATGGAAGAAGCAATCCCAATAACTAGTTTATATTTAAGCCCACAGTCATCATCCTCTTGATTTAGAGTTTGATTAATTAAGTGATCATGGACATGGATGGGTCGATTGAGACGAGAAGGCATTTGCCCAGATACCGCAATGCATCTCGACTCACAATCGTCGCGCATTTGTTCGGCTCTTTGGCCTTCTTTCTTATGCTCGTTTGGTTGCTGCATTTTCGTGAAGGCATCGAATATGACTCTGACAACCCAGCTCGTGTTTTTAACGTACGTAACACTACACCTTATAATATCCATTACCAATATCCATATATATATATATATATGTATGTATGTATGTATGTACAGTCATAAACACATAGACAAGTTAATGTACATGGTATGTGTATTGATTGTGGGTACAGACGCATCCCTTTCTCATGTTCTGCGGCTTTATTTACCTTGTTGGCCAAGGTACGTACGTCAATCTTGCATGCATGCTTGGGTATATATTATATTGATTGGAGAATTGAAAATTAGCGATGATGATGCATGGGTGCAGCAATGATGGTATACAAAACGTTGATAATGTGGGATCATAAGGTACAGAAGATTGCACACATGGTACTTCATCTCATGGCGTTGTGTCTGGGGATTGCTGGAATATGTGCTGCTTTCAAGTTCCACGACATGAGAGGCATTCAGGATTTGACCAGTCTGCATTCATGGATTGGGTTGATAACCTTCTGCTTGTTCGGTCTTCAGGTACATACATACATGATATATATATGTGTGTGTGTGTGTGTGTTTGATATAAGATAAAATAATTAAATATATTGGGAATGAATGATATGGCAGTGGTTGTTTGGGTTGTGGACATTCATGGTGGGGAGGATGGAGGCGAGAAGAAGGGCAATAATGTTGCCATGGCATGTGTGCGGAGGGAAGGGATTGTTTATGATGGGAATATGTGCAGCTCTGACGGGACTCATGGAGAGACAAACCATTTTGGCTGGAGGAACTTCCAGTCAATCTGAATTTCGTTTGATCAACTTTTTGGGCCTCTCCATTCTCATCTTCGCCATCTTTGTTGATCTCACTGTTTCTCTTGCTCGCTATGTTTAATTCTCATGAATTCAACCTTGTTTATGTATAATTTTTATGTGTTTTCCCGCCGCCTCTGGTGGTTTTTTTTTTTTTTCTTAATGATCTTTGTTTATGTATGTTTGTAATGGGTGTTTTTATATATATATATATATATGTATATATTAATTCTTTTTCTGAATAATTTGATCTAATTCATTAATATAATATTAATTAGCATTCTTGGTTTATTAATATAAAATGCATAGTTGTTGATGGATGGGGATTGTTCATTTGTTTGTTTGTTTGAGAATTTACTTAATTATATCCTAATCATTGAAAATTATTTAAAAATTTTGCATTTAATAACCGATAAATAAACATGTTCAATTGAATTACTTTTCTATTAAATTTCAATATTCTTTTTGAAAAAAAAATAAAATTGTATTTGATTACGTATTTGTAATTTTTTTCTAATTTTTGATTAGAAATTTCTTTTTTGACTACTCTAAAAATATATTAAATGAATTTGTTTGGAATCTAACAAATATACCTTATATGAACATTGAATAAGTGGGCCAATATAGTTGGGCCGAATGAAGGACCAATATATTATATTGATCTAACTCTAACACAAATTAAACACATTAGTAAGAATATTTCATCCAGCAAGCCTTTTAAAAATATTTCAAAAAGTTTTAACATAATTTCATACTTTTTGATTTTTAATAAAATTTTGGTCTCTTTGAGGATCATTCTTAGTTCAATAGTATGCATAAACAGTGAATATATAAACACAATCATTCGTTCAAGTGCCTTAATATTGGATCAAAGAAGTGTTGAGAACAGGAACAACTGGCAACAGCCGTTCTTGGAAGATAAGTGTGCCAACTTGTCCAACTCAACGGGAAGTTCCAGTCAGCATGCCAACTCATCACACAGACCGCCGACAAAATGCATGGCCAATAACTGGAATACAATCATCCTCCGCTTAAGAGCCAAATCGTCCCTATATGAAAACCATTAAAGCTGCATGTACCTCCTGCTCTGTGCGTATTATTTTGGTTTTCTGTTGTCTCTTGTGTTGCCTTTGTTTTCTGTCTGTCAAAAGCCAAAGAGCTCTATAAATGTATTCTCTTCTTAACCAGGACGAATGTATGAATATTACATTTTTGCTGTGAATTGTCTAGCTCCCATACACAAATCAAAACAATTAGCTTTCTTAACTTGGTATTAGAGCCTTGGCATAATAGTAGGAGAGAACAACAACTCCTCCGCTTTCAACCCAACACCTCAAAGAGTTCAAATTCTATCTAGCAGCTCAATGAGCTCTGTGTGTACTTTGAAACTCAATTACGATAACTATCTCATCTGGAAAAACTTAGTTCTCCCAATCATAAGAGGAAACAAACTTGAAGGTTACCTCACCAGCGCCAAATCGAGCCCACCTGAGTACATAGAAAGAACCATAGAAGGAAATGTTGAAGTCGAAATTGTAGTAAATCCGGAATTCGAAGACTAGTTTGCACAAAATCAAATGTTGCTGGGTTGGTTTTACAGCTTTATTGAAACCAACATAGCCTCCCAACTGATGGGGCATTCAACATCAAAACTCCTCTAGGAAGGAATCCGTGATCTTTTCGTAGTTAAAATATGAGCAAACATAATCTACAAAAGAGAATTTATCAAAATGCAAAAAGGTAACCTGAATATGGAAGAATATCTCAAATCCATCAAATAAATTGCCGATAATCTTGCCCTAGTAGGACATCCTGTTACTTTGGAGGATCTTACCTCACAAGTTCCTACTAGTTTAGATTCCTCTAAATACAACCCACTCGTGTGTCAAATCACAAAGAAAGAAAGCATAAGCTGGGTCGAACTACAATCTCGACTGCTCAACTATGAAAGATGGCTGGAACAACTCAACTTGACTACGACTACTCCAAACCTCGGACGTCCTGCAACATTTTTCTCTAGCATTAAAAATAACAGAACTCATCAGACCTCACCTTCTCAATTAATTAATAGAGGAGGAGGACGCAACAACTCCTTTAACAGAGGAGGTCGTCACTACAACAGAAGATGATTAAGAGCCGTGGTAACTCTAGACCAATCTGCCAGGTGTGTGGCAAAATTGGCCATATTGTTGCTTACTACTATTACCGGTATGACAGCAGCTACATGGGAACCATTCCAGAAAACTCTCCAAAGGCATATCAAAGTTCAACCCTTTCAGCAACCCCTGAGGACACCCTTGAATATTCACTTTGGTATGTTGACAGTGGTGCTAATAATCACATAACACGAGATGCCAACATACTGCAGTCCAAGCAATAATATGAAGGAAGTGAAAGTCTCATGATTAAAAATGGTGAGAAAATGCCCATCAAACACGTTGGTAAGATAAACATTCACAATCCCAAAAATAGGAAACTAACCTTAATCAAAGTTCTGCATGTATCAAAGATCAATAAAAACTTACTGAGTGTTTTTTAACTTACCTCCAATAACATTGTTGAAGTTACTTTTGACTTATCTTCCTGTTTTGTGAAGGACAAAGCCACAGACAAGGTGCTGCTGCTAGGGAAGCTTAAAAACGGCTTATATTGCTTGGGCTCATCAGGATCAACTCCTCCTTTTCATCCTTACTGTCAAGCCCTCTTCACTAGCAAACATCATCAAACCCCTGAATCAAGAATTTTGATGTGGCATAGAAGATTATGACACTCATCTTCAAAAACCATATTTGTCATCCTAAAAACATGTAACGAATCCTTTAAATTTAATGAAAACATATTTTGTGATATATGTTAACTAGGCAAGTCTCATCTTCTTCCCTACAATCTATCTTTATCAAATGCAGAAGCTCCCTTCGAAATTGTTCACACCGATGTCTGGGGACTATCTGTTCTCCCTTCTCTCTCTGGCCATAGGTACTATATAATTTTCATTGATGATTATAGTCGGTTCACTTGGCTTTATCCACTAAAATAGAAATTAGAAGTCTTTCAACCCTTTACTCTGTTTAAACACCAAACAGAAACTCAGTTTGAAAAGAAAATAAAATGTCTTCAATCAGGCATTGGAGGAGAATTCACTGACCTAGCCCAGACTCTCCAAAATAATGGGATTAAGATCAGATACTTATGCCCCTACTCTTCAGTTCAAAATGAACGTGCTGAAAGAAAACATCGGCATATAACCGAAATTGGCCTCACTCTTCATGTGGAGTCGGGTGTACTATTGAAATACTGGCTTGATGCTTTTGAAATAGTCGTATTCTTGATCAATAAAATGCCTACACCTACCTTGAATCAGTCTTCACACTAGAAAAACTTTACTACAAAAGCCTAACTACAAACAACTGAGACTTTTGGGTGGTGTCTGTTTCCCGTG